CCTCCAACACATCCTCAGTGGCCCTCCGGTTCGCCTCTTTGACGGCGTCCAGCATGGTCTGGTTTGCCATTCTCATGGCCTCCTGGTCGGCTTGTCGGTCCTCCTGCATCTCAGCCAATGCAGCCAGGATCGGGTCGAGTTGACCCTCATCAGTCTCTCGTGTTCTCCTGGATCCTACCATGACTCTGCACAAGTTACACAAATTATGAGTTGATCAGGCCCACGCAATGTGATCACATATGCATCATAATAATAAAAACCAACGGAGCAAACACACAAGACAGACACGACCAAACATCCTAATCATTGCAATACATACAGGCTTTTCCCTTGAACCGTTGCTCTGATACCATAAAATGTAACACCCCGTGTATACCCGGTAATGTTATCATACTATCGTATTAAGCTGCGCTATATTAAAAAAAAATGCGGAATATCTTTTTCTTTTCAATTATGACGTCATTATACTTAGCCAAGTTGATTACTTAATCAATTTCATAAAATACCGCCTGTATGTAAATTGCAATAAACATCTAACTGAAATACCTCCATATAAGGATATAAATGTGAGTATCTAAGTCACAAATCTACTACCCGTAGTCCGGACAATAATCCTGATACATTATTATAACTCCAACTAAAACAAGACATAAACAAGACTATGTGGCATGGACAATCCTCATGCTCACCAAATCAATGACATAATCAACCAAGTCTCAACATAATAATCCATAACTGAAGCTAAAAGCATAGGACAGTAAACAGGATCCAGCATCAAACATAACAGCATAAACATGCAACATCTATCAGCTAAGCTCTGGCCTCCTGCCACTAGAGGTCTCAACCCCTACATTACCTGAACCTGAAATAAGCATTCCCCAAACGTGGGGTGAGATCTCTAAACTAGAAATCTCAGTAAGACAAGGGGTCCTCAAGGATCTTCCTCCCAAAGCTCACTTACATGTGCAATATAAGTTCTAAAAGCAGTAATTCAATATAAGTTCCAAAACTCAATGCAGTGCAACAGATATTCATGCCATGTGTGTCAATACTATTCTACTGGCCAGAGAAATGCAGGAATACGTCTATTACCCACACGTAGTACAAGGAACACCGCTTGCACCTCACCCACAGCCTCACCATCTTGTATGTACCACATACTCAGGCTTACCGTATAGGTGGAACACCACATGCATATCATAAAGGCACTAGCATATAACAGCTCAATAGCATTTCAAAATATCCAAAGCATGTAACACAGCATGCATATAACCATACCCCCATGGAACATGGTGGAACCACAACATGGCTAAATCGAGGACACAAAAGCTTACCTTGCAAGCTCACTATCCAATGCCAAGAGTCCACACAACTCAAGTCCCACACACAACAGATCACAATCTGATTAGGACCAGCAAGCATATCAACAACAAAGCTCAAAAGCATGAACATAAAGACTACGTTTTTCCTCTTACGATTTACGTCTTAAGGCTCACACAAAGCCACAAGCCCTTAATCACTTGATTCTGACTTAGTTCAATTAAAACAAAAGTTCAACTTCATTACTCTAGGGTCCACAAACCCCCAATAGCCTACTGTATGAACAGTGCAGCTACTGTTCTTCGAAATCCCAGAATATTCAGATATTCCTCGGGGACATATCTGGATAAGCAATATCCGGATATCTCTCTGGAAATATTCGGATATCCAGATCCCCATATCCGGATATCAATATCCGGATATTTCACGGGCAAATATACAGATATTTCGCGACAGAATGCAGTTTCTGCATTTCGCGAAGACATCACTCCAAGGTTCCATTTTTAACACTTTCAGAAGCTTAAACATGCATATTAAGGTCCATTTAGGTTCATATGACAGTTGGTTACTTGTTTAATTCATTAAACATGCTAAGACACCTATTTTAATCATCAAAACACATGATCAAGGTTGGTGACACTTACCAAAGCTCAAAACAAAGCAAGAATGGCTCTTGGAGCTCACCACACAGCCTCTACAGTTCTGACTTCAAGGAAATACGAAAATGGTGCACAAGTTTGGTTCTTTCTACACAAAGGTCACTACTTAGACCTCCAAATGCCATGACCATGGCTCCACCAACCCAAACCAACCAACACAACCCTCAAACTCTCCCCAAACAGCACCTCCAACCCAACACCAGCTGAAACTCACCCTCTCCAAGCACTCACCCATGTGTTTGCAAGAGAAAGAGGAAGAAAACTCAAAGGGAAAAGCTCTAAGGCTTAAACTCAAGGGAAGAAGGCAAGAGAACTAAGTTTCTGGTCAGCCACCCCAAGAACTTCACGTAGGAAAATAGTGTCTAGGGTTTTGTGCCCAATCATTGGTGTATTTATAGTCACTTACACATTAAACACACAGTATTAACTTTAATTGTTACGCTTAGCATTTTAATCCCAAACTCAGGATTCTTAACCTACTCAATTTTACAAGAATTTTCATATTTTTATTATATTTTTTGGAGCACCTTTCTGGTACGCGTTTTTCATAGCCAGTATCAGTTTCTGGCATTAGTTCTCATTATTTTAACTTGAAACTCGTTTTACAAGTCCTATATATTACTCTAGGAATTATCATGCACTTATTATAATTTTCTGGGATACTTTTTCGGTACGCATTTATACCGACTAGCAGAACCGGTATCTGCACTTTTCTTCCGAAAAATGACTTTCAGCATTCTTAATCACTTACCATAATTATTAAAGCCTCTTAATAATTATTAGGGTCAATTATGGAATTATTTCCTAATTTAACATAATTAATTAATAATTTCCTTAATTAACGGTGCGGGTTCTTACAGAACGCATCGGTTTCTCTACATTAATTTTCTTGAAAGACTCCATTTTGATTTTCTAATAACAAAGTGTCAGATCTATTTTTTTCACCAACGCCTTGGTTTCTCTTAGATAAGTAATATCTTCGCTCCTATCTCCAGGCTCCGCTCCAGCTTCATCTTCTCCATTGGCTTCATTTGTTTCGTTACCTTAGTCCACTTGGAAGTCACACGGATTCAAGTGGTTCATCCACATGTTCGTTTAACTCTTATATCATAATACTGCTCATTCCATTTCATTTCTCTCTAAACCCCAAAATCTCTGGTACGGTTCCGATGAATATACAGTTTTTATTTATTTATTTATTTTACATTTCTGCCTTTTGATTGTGTCGGACGCGGTCAAAATCGCATGTCCAAATAGTCAACAGGTCCTAAAATATTGACTGCGTGCCGAACGCATGTCGGAACGTGTCGGTGTCCGACACACATTTTTTTTAAAAAATAACGTGTCCGTGCTTTATAGACGACCGGAGGATACCCTTCAGATTATTGAATTATTGATCCTTCTATAACGTACAATTTTAATTTCTATAAACTTATATTAACAATAGGTTGTAAATGCATGCCCATTCAGCTTCACAAATGTTAAATATTCTACATAAAATTGGCAAGGTATTTGTCACATACAAATTTAATTCTATTATTATTGAAAAGTTTTTGCGTATATATTATGGGTAAAGGATTTGTCTAGTCAATGGAGATAAGTTATCTCCGGTGAGCCTAAAACGGCGTCGTTTTGGGACGAAAATCAATGTATTTTTGTAATTTTAATATATTACAGGGTTATATTAGTCTTTATCATTATAATTTTTTAATCTTATAACCTCAAAACGACGTCGTTTTGAGCTCACTGGAGATAAAATTATCTCCATTGACTGGAGAAATACTTTTCCCATATATTATTTGGGAAAAATATTTCTGCAGTTACTGCAGATAAGTTATCTCCATTTATTCCCAAAACGACGTCGTTTTGGTATTGAAATCTTAAAAAATTATAAATATAAAGACTATTATAACCCTGAAATAAATTAAAATTACAAAAACATCATGATTTTCGCCTCAAAATGACGTCGTATTGGGCTTACTGCAAATAACTTATTTGCAGTAACTGCAGAAAAAACGAACTTATATTATTTTTCATATCCCTTTGTTGATTAAGTTTTGCACAAGATGCATTTAATGGATCACTATTTCCTTTGCAGAGAGAATGAGGAAAAAACTCTTTTTTTTCAAATATCAAATATCACACCATCATTTTTTATTCTTGTGTCTTAATTTTCGATGGGACAGAGCTACTGAATTACTGTGGAACTAGGGTTGGCAAAAACGAGCCAAAAAATGAGCCGAGTTGAGTTGGCAGAAACGAGCTGTCAACCCGAGCCAACCCGTGAAAAATGAGCCAACCCGCGGGTCAAATGAGCCAGCTCGCGGGTTGAGATTTTTTTATTATTATTATAAAAAAATACAAAATTTAATATACAAAAGTGGATAAAACTCACACATGTTGTCATCATTTTTCTTCCTTCTCTAAACCTAAGTCCCTAATCTTCTCACATCCCTGCCATTTTTATATATTTAGGCTGTGGTGGCTCTGTTTGGTTCAAATATCTTACCCACTTTGAAGCAAATAGTTCTGATTGTTTCTTGAGGTTGATGCAAATTTGTAAGAAAATTCAAAACTAAAATATTTTGCTTTATTTCTCATTTTGTAACCCTTTGTTTAAGCTGATAGAAGTCACATAGTTGAAGCTGATGGAAGCCACATAGCTGATGCATTAATACTACAGAGCCATCTAAATAGGCTAAAAACGAGCCAACCCGCGAGCAATTTTCGAGCCAACCCGCGAGCCAACTCGCTAGCTATTTTTTCAAGCCAACCCACGAGCCATATTTTTGAGCCAATTTCTGACTCGTTTTTTTTTTTTGAGCCAACCCTAACCCGACTTGTTTTTTTTCTGATTGAATGCGGATTGAATCGGATCGGACCAGGTTAACCCGTCTTGCCAACCCTACGTGGAACCATCTGGATTACTTGGTTATGGTGTAATAGCCAAAAGCCCAAAAGAAAGCCCTTTGGGCCGGAATAAACGGGAAAGAGCCCAAAACCGAAATCTGTGAGTGGACCAAGATAGCTGTCATTTAGGGCTAACAGCATGAAGCTCTTAGGTACGATTCCTATCAAAGTTCTTCATCCTCTCTTGGTACGTTCTCATTCTTAATATCATTCATAAGAATTGATTGTGAATCCCATTTCCGTGTTTTCTGTTTTCGTTAATTTGTATTGTTTGTTACAAATTCGTTCTTTATTATACTGAACTGTGAGGTTTTGATTTTTAAACTGTTAATTTAATTTCTTTGATATTTGCTTCTGAATTGAACAATCTAGAAGAATCAGAAAATTGGTGTGGTTTTCGGGAGTTGAGTGAAGAAGTATGGTGAAAGCATACACACAAGAATACATGTACAAGCACCCATGGGAAAGGGTAAGTTGTGCATCTTGGCGCAAGTTTGCAGACAAAGAGAACAAGCGCATATTATCACATATCCTTGACGTTGACACATTGAACCGAAGCCTTGACCCTTCATCGGGGAAGCTTTATGCAACACGTGTTATCACCGTCCATTGTCCTGGACCATGGTTTGTCCGCAAGATCATCGGTCAGGATATTTGCCACTGTTTGGAATCAACGGTTGTGGATGCACGATCGCGCTCGATGCAACTAACTTCCCGTAATATTAGCCTCCAGAAGTTCATAGATGTTGAGGAGAAGATCCGGTATGATCCGCATCCGGATAACCCGACCGGGTGGACTATTTGTCATCAGGAGACCCGGATCCGGATTAAGCCATTGTCAACTCTGGCATCCATGGCTGAAAAGGTGGAACAACGTTGTGCTGACAGGTTCCTTCAGAACAGTTTCAAGGGTAGGGAGGTTATGGAGAGGATCTGTAAATATCTTGAAGCAGAATCTGGTACCCTTGGTTTGTGATTCTCTCTGTAGTTTAGATTCTTATATTTATAAATAACTGAGAAAATAATGTAACAGTCAAGACTTGGAATGGAATGGAAAGTTTAAGCTTGCATCTAAATCTTAACAGAACTTAATGTAGTATCTTGAATCTCTTTCTGTTGGAATCTTGATTAGGCCTTGAGAGTGAGTGGCTTTGGGACATTACTCTGTTGTTGTTCATGGTTTGACACCTTTGCTTGTCTTTTAAAGCATGTGATTACAAGTCTCTCTCTCTCTCTCTTTTGTATATATACCTGGAGATAGAAGTGATTATCCATGGATTATCAGGTATGTTTAAGTGATAACTTGTGTTGGTCTGTTTTGACATGGTAGTTAAAGTTTAATAATCTATACCATGGAGGTTTGTTTTTTCTCGGCAACACCGAACACTGACATAGTGAAAATGAAGTTGTAGTTAGTTATTAAAGCAATCCTCGTTGATTAAGAGTTTACCTTGCATGCTAGCTTTCCGGCTATCAGGTTGAGTTCCAAATTTCAAATAATGTCCAGCATCCAGGCGCTTGAGTGGTGTGATTTTTATTGTACCATTGACCTTGTTGGATTTTGGTTAGGTTTAGTGGTGAAATAACCCTTTGCTTGGTAGAGTTTGTAGGCCATAAACTAGAATAGTAGAATGCTTAGTGGTTTAGGTCAAGGGTAATTTGAATAAATAAGATAAATTAACAGTGAAAAAGCAACCTATCCTTCATTGTGACATTTTTCTCATGGAAACTGTTTTCAGATTTAGCCAACTATATTTTTGCAAGAGTTTGCTTACTAAGGAAGGATTTTACTTTATTTTCTTTTATTGGGCAAATGGATTTTAGTATTTGCCTGCACCATTTTTCGTTTATGTACACGCTCTTCAGATGTAAATCACTGTTACAGTTTAATCGTGTTTCTTTCCTTTTTGCGTCTCCCTTCCGCAGTCTTAAAAATTAGCACCAATTACTTGATTACTAAATACGAGTTCAACCAGTCACGCTAGTGTTGAGCGAAGCTCCATTGACGATTCTAACATTGTTACTCAAATCCTTATTTTATATACCCTATTTTCTTTTTGGTTTTGTACATCTAGCTTTGAAAATTGAAATATATGAAAAATTGTGCCCAAACGATTACAATACATATGTTACTGAGAGAAATTCATAGATGACCAAATAAACCATAACAATAATTTACAATCTAACCGCACGTCCGCGGATGCTCTTGAAATCACATGTAGATTGCACATACCATTCTGACATGTACTACTACAGAAATAGGGAACAAAATAGACGCATTACAACGCCAACAACACCAATTCCACCAAACCAGCATAGATTAAAAGACTTAAAACACCCGGGGATATATTTTTGCCAATAGTCCTTCAGACTGCAGACATGTCCTATAAGTCCAAGTCCCCCATCACATATAACAATATACTAAGAACACCATTAAAATAAGCAGGAAACTCGGATCATCTCATGATGACATTGAGTATTACAGCATCCCAGGGCATGAAACTTCAAGGCACCAAATCTAGATCTTATCAAGCTTCTCAGCCCTGACAATCGGGTTTGCTTTAGCTATGGCATCCCGTGCAGCAGTGCGGTAATCAAATGGGCAATTATGCTTGTCTGAGTAGCGATGTGCAGTGCAGAAAATGTTACCACATCGACAATTAAATCCTGTCAAACCAACCCGCTTATTGCAGCTACTGCATCGTTTTGGACCATCCTTAGACTTTGCCTCATCGCTCTCCTCTGAGCCTGAACCAAATAAAGGTTGTGCAGGGATAGTCTTAGGCTCTATTGAATTGATTGAGATATCCACATTGGCAGCTATGGCAGGTTCATTTCCACTACTGCTTGATGACCCATTCATAATATTCCCAATGGAAGATGCGGCAAGCTTGGCCTGCTCCTGTTTCAACATCATGTCTTTGTGGCACTTAGAACACATGTTCATGGTAGCTGCACTTCCAAAAAATCCACAGTTGTTGATGCATAATACAGGACCTTCTGGGGGAGCTTGACATCCAGTCTTGTCATGGTCCATCTTTTTTCAACTTTCCTGCACCTAAGAAATAGAAGTACTAAATCATCTAAAGACCACGTAACAAATATATGTAATTTCTGAGCATACAAAGTATTCGACTATGCATATTGACCAATTAATATATAGCACTAACATCAGCAATCTTTCCCAATCGCTATGGCCTATGGGTAAATATGCCAAATCAAGCTTCTGGGTTGATGCATGTGGTGTTAGATGAGGAAAGAATAGAGTTTGTGCCTTGTTTATCTCTTTAAGCAGGCATATTGGCATGGAACTTGGTTCTAGCCAAAGCTGAAAAAGGAAACTCTTTATAAATAGCAAGAAACCAAGAGTATGTTTGGTAATGGAGAATCCATTCCTGCTGCTATCAATGTGAATGAAAGTTTCCTTTTGTTTAGTATGGAAAATGTTATGGAGTGAATAGAGGCGAAAGTGGGCCGAGCCGGTCTATAGGTAGGGATGTGCATGGAGCGGTTCGGTTTGATTTTTGACAAAAACCAAACCGAACCGGATTTAAATGGTTTGGTTTTCAAACCGAACCAGTTTTCTATTTTAAAAACCGGTTTTAATTTTTTCAAACCGGTTTGAAACCGGTTCCAAAACCGGTTTATGGTTTATAACCGGTTTTGATTAAAAACCGGTTTTAATTCAAAACCGGTTTTAAATCATAAACCGGTTATCAAGTTAAAACCGGTTTTATAACAAATTTTAAACCAATTTTTGATGAGTTGTGCTATTTATTATTTGTATCTAAATACAATTGCTCGTAAAAACAGTTGCTCTAATTATAATAATACGTATTGCATAATAGTTTTCATGGAGTAATTTCTAAAATAAATAAATAAATATTGTTCATGGAGTAATGATACACGATCCTTCACATTTGTTTGATAGGAAAAAAAATTGAACAGAAATATACATAAGATTTAATTTTGCTTAGTTTTAAACCTGTTAATAATATTATCCATTCATAGCATGACTAAAACTTTTTGGTAACTATGCAGGGGCAAAGAAAGAATGTTCTTTTTTGGTGTTTCTAATTAAAATTAGACTATGCTTGCGTACGTTAAATTATATTTAATCCAAAGGAACATATGTGTTTGTAGATGGGACAACTAATAAATCAATACAAAGTCGTAAGAGCTTTAAAGGTTTGTAGACGATCATACAACTTGCACGAGAGCTAATATTACTCCCAACACAGAGTAGATTGTGCTCTGCTTTGAGGCTTTAAGCTGATGCAGCGGCGTTTCCCTTGTTCTAAAAGTGGTTTGGTTAATTATGATAACCGAACCAGTTTTAAAAGATAAGATCCAATCCATATCCAAAAATTAAGAAACAGTTTAGTTTTTAAAACCATTTTAAAAAACCGGTTTAATGAATCAGTTTGGTTTGGTTACCTATTTGGTTTGGTTCATTTGATTTTTTGCACATCCCTATCTACAGGGGCCTACAGCCTAGCCTAGTTATATATAGTCAAATAGAACAGGCCCAGACTTTTTAAAAATACTATTTAGAAAGCAGGCCGTCTGTTTTTTTTCATACCGGCTTATAAGCCTACAGGCCGGCCTATATCATATTATTTATTTTAAATAAAATAATGATTCATAGTAGTACTAAATAATGATAGCTCAGTTGGTGCATGTGAGCTGAGTAGGTGGTGGAAGGACCTAGATTCGATTCCCCACCAATACTACCTTTGGGAGTGGCATAAGATTTGTACCAATTTCTACAATAGCATCAGAATCAACATTTAGTGCTAGAGGAAGAGTTATTGATGCCTATCGTTCTAGCTTGGCTGAAGATACCATCCAAGTTTTAATATATGATGGAGATTGGCTACGTAATAAGTATGGCTAGAAGAAAAAACAAAAGATATAAACATGTTTTTTGTTTTTAATCTTTTTTTTTCTTTCTATTCTTTAATCTTGTTTTTTGTTTTCAACATTAACAAATTGTTTAGCAACTTATGTAACCTTGGAATTGTATTTGCAGGGGAGAGAAGATGATGAGAAGTTTTTGGCTACTATAATCATCATGATGCATTTTTTTGGATTCATGCAGTTATTTTAATTTTCATAGTAGAGATTAATTTGTTGGATCTGATAAAATATATGTTATTTAATTTGGGCATCTTGCTATAAAAGTGACTTAAATGCAGATTGTGATAAGTTATTGTTGTGATTCATGGTTTTGTTTGAACGTTGAAATTGTGATTTTTGTTTTAAACAACAAAGTTTGAGTATTTTGTGAAGTTGATTCATGTTCTGCGTAAAAGTTAGAAATTAACAGGCTAACGGGCCAAGTCAAGCCATTTGTTTTTATTATAAATAGGCTAGATCAGGCTAACAGTTAGATTTGTACTATGCTATCAGGCCAGGTCAAATTGAAATGTTTTGGAAAAGACTTGGACTTTTCGGGACAAAGCTCGGCCCAGCCCAGCCCACTTTCACCCCTAGGAATGACCATTGCATTCCAAGCCTTGATGGAGATGAGAGCTACCATTACTAGTAGAATGGAATAATTTAATTCTTGTTTTGTTTCCTAATATATTTTCACTAGTTATAATTATAATTTCATTAACAAAACATAACAGAACAAAATGGAATAAAATAGATTTGATTACTACATGAACCGCTGGAACAGGAACGATCATCATTCCCATTCCATAAAAAATGATATCGCACAGCAAATCTTCCCTAATAACAAGTTAAATTCACAAACATGGACTTGATAAATACATCACGAAAGAACACAAAAAGTGTGATCGGTATAGTTCAAAGTTCAAATAAGCAAGTGGCAAAATTAGTTAGGAAATGATATGATGTGAAATTTTCAGAAGCTAATACAGATAGCCTTCCTTCAACAGATAACCAACTATGCATGCATATGAATGTTAGAGCTAGCTGCTTCAAAATAACCATCACCGTAAAAATCAAAACCATTTGCAAAACAATAATTTCATAAAAAATGTGAAATATTAACCTCACGTCATCAACTTATTGACTAACATGAAAACAGTTTATTTTATCGAACTTCTGAAACATAAACAAAGTAAAACAATAACAACTCCCGAAAGAATTGAAGTATTAACATTTAGTTAGCAGCAATCAGGCGATACAGGCCGTAATTCAAACACCATATGAATACATGGTATTGGCCACAGAGTCCCTGCACTGAAAGTTTAATAAATTGATTACAAAATCAATAAGACAGGGTGAGGTTCCTTTATATTTCTCTAACCCAACTTTCCACCCAACCAGAACTCAGATTTCATAAATAAATAATAAAAAAAAAAAGACAATCAAAACTGGACAAAAATATTGAGAACACATCGACAGAAAAGTCATATACCATGCGAATATTACAAGACATAATCTAACCTGGTAGCCACGAAATTTTTTTTACAAAAATCTGGGAAACGAAAGCTTCAGGCCGATCTATAAGCTCGAAATCGCATCGAATAAGAATCCTGGATTCACCAAGTGGAAACCAAAACAGGAACGAATGACTAATAATCAAAAACTAACAAAAACAACTGATAAAAAAATCGAAAACAAGAGATGATAAGGTAACGGAACCCTAACCTAGTATATTTGGGATCGATGAGGAGAGGAGAGAGAGAAAGCAAAGCCGGAGAAGAAGGAGAGAGAAAATGGAAAGAGGTGCTGTCAGACGTCACTCTCTCTTTCTCTCTCTATGTCTCTCTTTTTGTGTGTGTGTTTAAAAGGCTTTCCTTCTCTGCTAATAAACGCTCTTTGCTGATTGGAGGCGACGTGGAGAGTTATTACAGGGCACGCGTGTTGCTCTTACATTCCCAGTTTTGTCCCTTTCGAAACTCCTATTGGCGGTTTTGCCAGGGTGGGAGTGTTAACCTTACTGCCTTCTGCAAATATGGGCAAGACCGTCCAATAAGTATTTTATTATGTGCATATTACGTTAATGGAAGATTTGGTGAGGTGGAAGGTTACTCATGACAAAACACCTGTATTGGTTTTTTATTTTATTTTTAACCAGCACTATAGTCTAATCATTTTTGCTTTTGGCAACTAAAGAGGAATTTCACGTGAAACCTAATTTTAACAACTTAACCACCTAACACATTCTTCCTTTTATTATTTTAACATTATTATTATTATTATGAGTTTTATAATTCTGAAATATCATGTTGTAGAGATAAAAAACATGTGGGACCCATGTGTTAGAAAAAATTATATGTAAGATCCATATCAGTACGGAAATCGAAGGGTGTGTAGAAAAATTGTAATTCTCTTGTTAAATGAGAATTATAAAACTTTATTATTATTTCCAAAAATATACTATCGTATATATTCTCTTGATTTTTTTTTATATAATCGATCTTAATTATTTTTTTAAAACGTGTTCTTTATGAGTTCGATTATTTAAATTGCTTATGAAATTAATCCGAAAATTGGAGCCGAATATTTCTTACTCTTTCCCAATATAATATTTGACGGGACTCGAATTGTAATTCTTGTCACCTTGTTCAGTCTTGCAACCAACTCAATGCCCACTTCAGTTATTCCCTTTAATTCTTATATGTTAAAAGTAGGCACATTAAACTTTTTACATTTAGAAATTCCAAAATGTCTATTACAAGGAATATCAATGACGAGGGAGCTTATGTCATATAAAAAGCAAATAGGAAGGACTGTAATTTTTTTTTTTTTTTTATAATTCAAATTAGGTTGATTAACATAGAAACATAGTAAAATCAAAGTATGAAAACTGAACAGACGGGGACGAGAGTATGTGTTCGATCCTCTGCAATATTAATTTTGAGAAGAGTTTAAAGTTTTAATTCTAAATCCGTCCCGAATCTGATTAATCACAAAAAAATAAATTGATGAAATATTTCAAAAAAAAAAGAAATAGAAACGGGGGGAGCTACTTCCTCATCGGCTCGTCACTTTTGTTCTCCGAGAGGAATAGAAGCCTAACCAGGTCTTGTTTATTATCAGCATAATTGTTACAGTAACTTCGAGTATTTTTAAAATATTATAAACTTAAAAATAATAAATAAATTGATGTACAAAATAGTTTTAATATTTTTTTTTTGTTTTCATAATTTGTTACTAATTTTCTAGTGGCAATGTTTTAATATATTCACAGAAGAAAACCTCTTCAAGTTTAGCATTTGAATTCCCTAGATTGAAAATAAGAAAGAGAAAAATCGCCTCTACTACACAATTATTTGATTTAAATATAATTTTTTTTTAAATATAGCAATTTTAAGTGTTGGTTTTTTATTTTAATAACTTTCCGAAGAGTCCTTGAAATTTTTTTCTTTTTTATATAATTATTATATTAAATCTCGGTTGAAAATTGTTATTTTCTGCACATGTGGAGTGCTACGTGAAGAACAAACATTTTTATATGAATCACTTGGTGTACGAGAGTTAAATAAGGAAAATAAATGGTTTCGGTATTTTTGGAAGAGATTTAAAATCTTTATCTTTGATCTGCATCGCATTTCCAATTAATCTTATAGTCGAGTTAAAGAATCAAAACTTGTAAGAATATCGATAGGAACTACTCGGGCTTTTTGACCCTTATGCCCCTTAATTAATAATTAATTACCAAATTGCCCCTGATTCAAAACTATTTCGAAAATTTACCCTCCCCAACAAACATAACACCAATCTGCCCTTGTTTGACCGTTGACCACGAAGCCTACCCGGGTACACCATTATCTACCCGGGTAAATTTTGAAACTTTTTATCTACCCGAGTATGTAGGGGTGTACCCGGGTAGAGTTCTTGAATCTGGGAAAATGTTTGAATTATTTACCCGGGTACGGAGCAGTGTACCCGGGTAAATCGCGACGGTAGGGTTTTAAAATACCCCAGCAGCCACATTCGAAAACCCACAAAAGGGGTACCCGAGTAGAGCTGCTGGAGGAGTGTCATCTTGAGCGATTTCAGGCATAATCTTGCACTAATTCGTCTTGTTTGTGATCATCATTCGCGGACCTTGCAACCTCTCTGCCTTCTACCGATTGAAATCGATCAAAGGTGCATTTTTTTTTTCAGTTTTTTCAATTATGTTATGATTTCTGTTCTGATTCATTGTTTTCGTTTATATCATTTGATTCTGTCCGAATTATTTTATCAATTTGTATGTCATACGCTTACCCTAACCCTGAATCTAACCCTAACCCTAACCCTAACCCTAACCCTAACCCTAACATGTATCTAATTTCTGATTTTGGTTATTTTTTCAGTTTAATAGTGTGACACAATGACCTCTCGACGCGTTTCAAAGCTGCCAGTGACCCATTCCGAGAGAAGAACCAAGAGTCGTCACGATGGGTCGTCATCCTCTCAGCCCCAGGCTGCTTCGAGTCAGGCTCCGGACTTGACGTTCGGATATTTGTTTGAGGATGACATTCCTTCACACGAGAAGTTCGTGAAGTTTTTCATGACCCGGAAGATCTGCGAACCGAAATCACTGGATTCGGCATTCTTCAACCTAGAGCGTTTTGACATCGTGCCGCTTCTTGAGCAGACACATTTACTTCACCTGGCGGAGATGCGGTGCCCATACTCGGAGGTTATGGTAAGAGCCTTCTACCAGAACCTTGGCTACTCGCAAGGCGAGCTGACTTCCCGTGTATGCGGGATTGATATCATCATGACTGCTCCTATCTGGACGGAGCTACTGGGGTTCGATTTTGATGGTGTCTCAGGAGCAGCACTATATGATGGAGACAGCCATCATATATTTGGTGATTATAACCGGGAGACCATTGTTACAGAGACTAGGAGGGCAGACGCTGAGCCCGGTCATTTTGCTCATTATCCTGTTAGCAACTTGTCAGTTTCTGCTCGCATTCTTCATTATGTTGGTGACACATATTATTTTCCAGCGCCCGCATAATCACTCAAAGGTGCTGGAAGGGGACTTTGTCATCCTGTGGGCCCTCCTTCACAGTCAGCAGGTGAACTGGAGGCATTACATATGCATACTGATGTGGAAGGCAGCCAAGTCAAAGAAGGCTGAATTGCCTTTTGCATTTCTGGTGCAGAAGATTCTGCATAGATTTGGAGTGCCTATGGCAACAGAGACCTTGAAGACCGCCAGAGGCTGGAATGCTATATTTGGTGAGAGGCTCCTGAAGCAGTGTGGGATCCTACCGAACAGAGCGGGTATCTGGACGTGGAAGAAGGCACCAGAACCACCTGAGATCCCATTCCACCACGATGCTGAGATGGAGGATGCACCTGCAGGTGATGTGTTGGTCTTTATGAGTTTATGCAATTATGTGTTGTTTAATTTTTAATGTGGTATTGAAGTTTGTTTTTCATGGTTTATGATGTAGGCCTTGATGATGATGACGATGATGATGGCGTTGCTGAGGTTGATGTCAGACCGACACGTCCCACCCGCAGTCGGCGACCACCAGCTCCTCCTGAGGGTGGATGGACACTTGATCATGTCATGGCATCCTTATATGATCTGACTACTGACTTTAGAGGATATAGACAGAGCACGAGCAAGTGGCGAAACCAGATGGACACAAGGGTTGCACGGTTGGACACAAGGGTTTCACGCTTGGAGGGTTTAATTGGCGAGGGTGCCCATACTCAGGAGGAGGAGGAGGAGGAGGATGATGACAATGGGGATGACACACAATCGGATGAAGAGAATGGGGAGGACACGGCATCGGATTAGTGTGTCCATAGGGTTTCATATCATTGATTTAGTTTGATGTAATGTAGTCATTTTGGTACATTTAGGAACTTTACCTACATTGCATGGATGTTTTTGTACTGGATGTTCAAAATTTGAATGAATGAAATTTTCGTTTTGCGCACGTTCAGACTTGTTGGTTCTATGCATTAGTATGGGACCTTGCATTAATATTGTCATAATTAATTTGGAAATCAATTAAACCCAAAGTAGTTTATTATTCATTTTCAACTTTGATTGGCGCACATCTTGATTACTGCATCCTATTTCTACGAAATCAATCCACCCCCAAGTCATACCGTATGTAGGTATTGCACAACAATTACCAAAATGCAACAAAAATTGCCAAAACAGCATCTGCAACAGCATCTGCAACTGGTCTACCCGGGTACCACGAATAGTCTACCCGGGTAAGATGTACTCGGGTATATCATTACGAGTTACCCGGGTAGACCAGTTGCAGATGCAGCAGCAGGTGCTGTTCAATCCATTTTGTTAGCATCTTGGTAATTGATGTGTAATACAATAACCTTAACTGACTCGGGGAAGGGGTAAATGGGTATGGTAGACATTCGGATTGCACAATACGGAACGAGTGACTCGCTAAACTTAACGGATACATTTCAACAATACATTTCAACAACACAAGAATACAGTTCAACAATACATTTCAACAACACAATACATAACTAATACAAGATAAAGTTTAGGGTACAAGGAAACAAAACAATACGTAAAGTGATTGTCATTACAAAACAAAGTACTACACAAAAACAATACGTAATCATGCTTGTCTTAGTCTCAATGGACATGTACGAATGTTATGTCCAACTTGCTTGCAATGCTTACATCTGCTCTGACTGCTAGAGGGTTGAGACTCAACCCAATCCATCTCATTCTGAATCCTTGAAGACTTTGGTCTTCCTTTTGCACGTACCAACTGAGCATCCGGAATTACAGTAGGCCCAACAACGGATGGAATCAACAATTCATTGCCAATA